CAGAAACCACCAGTTCTTGAGGCAATCAGTGCTTCAGGCATCCCATGTCCTGAAAGAAAAGATGGGCTACCAATTCACTTCAAATTCAATAATTCGGCGTTGTTTACAGACAGCAAATCATCTGCAGCAGACAGCATGAGTGAGGATGATGAAAATGGAGAAGAAAGCTTTGATCAGATGTTTTGGAACATGGGGACAAATAGCATGAGGACATTCTTTGTCGCTCTGGATGTCATGGACACCAAAAGCTTGACCATGACAAAAGAGGTCCTCAGAGAAAGACAGAGGCTTGAGAAGGCAGTTGAAAATTTGCAGAAAGAGGTTAAGGTTGGGTTAGCCAAGCTAGATGAGATAACAGAGAAGGCTGAAACACTTAAAGAGCACGAGGCAGAGATGTGCAGATATAAGAATTTTGAGTTTGAATCCAGCTTCCTAGACGCTGTTCAAGTACAAATTACTGGTACTGGAATTTACCTCAACAACTGTAAGCAGTGTCATTTCACCTGTCACTCTCCCTGTAGAAGATCCATTAATACAGGAGACAAAAGACACTGCAAAGCAATAGGATCAGATGGACGCTGCACAAAGTGCCCAGGGAAATGTTACTGGGATGAACATAATGATCAGACGTACAAATGGGAGAGTGAGGAATTGAAGGAAGTAACAACAGTGAAAGAACGTAGAAAGAAGTACAGAAACGCAAAAGATATTAAGAAATGTTATCAGACATTGATTGAAAAACTGATGCATGAATATCAACCCGTGCAGGCTGAGGTGGAGGCACTGAGAGCGCACTATAACAAGAGTCTGAACAGACTTAAAAAGATAGCACTGAAGCCGAATCCTCTCTACGCTCGTGAATTCACTGACATGCTTATTGAGGCAGAGAAATCTAAGGCCAAGCCAGGCTGGAGACAACGAGTTCAGCCCCTGATAACCATGAGGGAAAAAGCAGACATCATGGCTACAGTCGACAGAGGAGAGATACTCCTCCCAAGTCCACCTATTGACCTCCAGTGTTCCAGTCCCAGCCATGACATCACTGAGACTGATAATAAGAGACCAAGACTAAAATGATACCGACACTGACACCAGCAAAAATAAAAAGGACAACACTGACTGATACCAACCGAGACCAACATAAGATCAACACAAATACAGACCACGACAAAGTCAACACAGATACCAACCATGACTGAATCTGATAAAGGCCAGGATGAAACTGAACCAAATAACAACTGAGGCCAAGAAGAGACCAAGACCAATTCTAACATGAACAAAGACCAAGACAGTGAGCTTGACACTAACCCAAACCAAGACCAGACTGATTCCTATGAAGCCCAGGACAGGACGTTGTCAAGGGGGAACAAGGTCTTCCTGCTTACCGTATCCATTTAATTATCTACTTTTGTTTTATTTGATATTAATTTGCTTTGTACTTTAAAGCTGCAGTTTTTCTATGTCAGCAACTACATGTGGGACAATGCAATTTATATGTACATGAAGTCATATAACCATGCAATCTGAATAAGCATCTAAAGCTTCTGCATTGATTCCCCTAAAAGCTATGTATGTTGCTTGCATCATTTTAGAAAATATAAAAAGTTCTGTTTTATATGGATG